AAAACCCTGAATCATATATTCCGCCAGGAAGAAAAATATAAGGGTACTGCATTTCAAGAATATCAAGACTTTCCTTTCTCTCAAGTATTCAATAGAGCCTCTCTTGTTCCTCTGTGCACGTCATGTCAGAAAGCAGGTGCAGGAAAGAGGGGCAAGGTTTTTATTGGACGGTGAAATTCGCTCGGTGAGCGGGTTCTTGGAGGAAAAAACCTGGTTGGACGTAGGCACTCATGTTGGAGTATTTTGTGAGCAAGTTTTTGACCAGAAAATGTCATATAACAGACACCTTACCGTGTATTGTCCTAGTCATTTTATACAATTTATTGTATGTTCTCTAACCAACAACCAACAAAACTTAATGTATTATGCAATAACTCCTTAAGTTTGGGAACACGTTTTAGGTGTTAACAATTGAAAATCATGTTACAACAACGCAGAATGATAGTATCACTCAGCAGGTGAAATTTATATCATTTTTTCCCCTGTGAACAGCTGCGACATTTCAAACTAAAGCATCAAATAACAAGGAAAATTTCGTCGAATATTCCTGAAAAATATTGGAGCTTTTGTTGATATTTTTAAAGCAATCGAGAACATATTTTTGCAAGTTACCGATATGTTAATAGTACCAAGATCTACTCAGAAAATAAACGTTTGAATATTTATATTTAATGCTAGTATTTTAAGTTCCATAATTATCGAGGTCATTTAAAAATGAAAATATAATGTACTGAAATTAAAAACCTCGGTAATTGTACATGAAATGCCATAAAGTTATGTAAAATACTAATATATATTGTATAAACTTAGTGGTTTATGTATATCAGAAATTGTGGAACTCCAATATTATATAGTATATCGGGAGGAAAATAAACAAACATACACAAACAATATTTATTAATCAAGCAATTATTAACTAATAGCAATCATTGTTTGTGGATGATTATTTATTTTCCTTCTTTCCTTCCTTTTTTTGTACTGTAGACTAATCTATATTTTTTCATAATTTTCCCTCAATACTAAACCAATCTTGCATTTTTATATACGAATATTTCTTAGATAATGACTTTATTTTGTTAAAAAATTACACGAAAAAGATCCTATCATATTGTCTGAAGTCGATGTCTAATTATCCATCAGGAATATTTGTATTTAACTAATTCCTACTCACTCGCGGGTATGCACTCTCCCCTCATTTAGGGTCACTTTAGCTCGAGCCTCACGCAAACTAACCCAATTAGCTCTCTTCATTCGCCTGACAGTGCAACTGATACCGGCAGTTTTATGGTCGAGACGTTCTCCCTAGACGGCTCGCGAGTAGCATTTCTTATGACGTTGGTTTTAACATCTGACGATCGCAACAACTTGTCGTCCGCGCGGGGCGCTTGAGTCGGAGTTTTATAGGCTGCCGGCAGACGGTATGGCGTCGGCGCGCGGGGCAGTTGGCACGCGTTCCCAGCAGAGGGCGTATTGCGGCTTCCACTGGAACGCAAGACTACATTGGCGATTTCAATATCACCAACACCGCTGATCATGCAGCCAGAGACCGGCTGTGGCATCGTAGGGCATCGACAGACGTCAAGACAGTGCCTCTGACCGGGATGTTCTAGGGTTCGAGGTCCGAAGGTGACAGGATTTATTATTGTAGCAAGATAGCTAGGCCGTATTCAGCCGCTGTCTGGAAGAGAATTATACCTGCTGGTTGCTCTGATCGAGAGTTCGTATAGTTTTCCATCGTTTCTCTAGTCAGTGAATGCTCAGACGAATGCGGAAGCTGTATCCTAACAAGAAAAGGAAAGAGAGCTCGGAAATAATCAATCCAGCTGTAGAGATATTGCAAGTATATTTCTGATCCGTTTTAAAGCTATAGCACAGAGTAGATACAAGTATCTATTCTGTGGCTATAACTGTAGCTTTTTCTATAGGAAATATTTGATGTGCAAATGTACAATGAATTTATGGTCCCTAGTCTATATATTGCCGTGAACATAATTTTTTGGAAAATGTAAATATGTTTGTCATAGAACAACTACACCTTTTATTGTTGTGTCTTCTATCTACTTCATTGTAGGCACAATAAAACGCGACAGTTTTAGAACGGTATGGTCAAGTGCTCTCTAATCCTTGCTTGAGAATCAATGGAACTTAAAATGAAGTTCCAAAAGCTCTACGTGCAATTTGTAACTTCATAAAATAAATGGAGACTAAACGCATTACATGGTGCTCTGTTTTTATTTTAGAGCATATTCTGATTATTTTTTTATATTTTTACAATAACTCTCTTCGTCGAACTTATTGTAGTAATAATGATAATAACCATGCGAGATTTAAATCTCATTCTGTTCCCCAGAGGGAATATCAATGCACAGGCAGGGAGGCGGGAAGGACTGGCGGAGTGGTGGAGGAGGAGGGCAGCGGGGGAGTTTTACGACGCCATAAAACGTTTACCCGCGCCGCCGCCAGGGCGCTCCGCGGTCGCTGATTGGGAGATTTACAACCCGGCGGGAAGATGACGAGCGGAACAAGTCTTTTTACCGTGCGCCTGTTCGCACAAAGCGAGGCGTCTGCCCGGCTTTTTAAATAGTACAGACCCGCCGACGGCGGAGCGCCCCGCGTGTTTTGTGGCACCCTCTTTTCGGGGCAAGGGCCCGACGCCTGGTGACCTTGCAGGGCGCCGAGCGGCGAGGACTTCGACTTGGGCGGTCAGGAATTCGAACCTTCTTCATTCCCTCGCTTGTCCTCGATGTTCGGACTTGGCGTTATTATAAAGCCGCTCCTACGGGTTGCACCGTACTGCCAATCGATTTCTGGATCCATATGATTGAATTGTTTCATTGTCGTCATTAAGTCAGCGAACCCCCTTATTGAGTCGGCTTCATTTGCTTTGTGTGTTTATTTCCTCCTCCTGAATCGGAATGGAGCTCTGCGCTAGGCAATGGCATGCGGCAGAGCGTGACGGCTGGCTGTGACCATTGCTAGGGGTGTGAGGGCAGCGATGAAATGAATGCCCTCATTACGTGTAAGATCGTCGTTAAGGAGATTTCAGCGCACTCACTTGGCCGTACTGAGATGCTATCGCAGCACGTATAGCTGCGAGGCTTGAGTAAAAATCTAATTGAATTAATTCGGTAATTACAAGGTGTAAGTAATACGCTACAATGTCGGAAGAACTTCTAAGTGAGAGCGGAGCCATAACGAAGGACATGGCCAGTGGTTAGTCTTTTTACTCGAAAGTAATACTTAGAAGGGACAGTGGAGCAGAAGTTATTAAATTTAATGGCCACTCATTATTTCTTTATTCGTAACTAAGGATTGAACATTGCAGTAACACATTTTAATGAAGATATTTTTTTATACATATTACTGTGTGGTACAAAATTACTGATTGGTAATTTTTAGCCTCTTTTCTTTACAATATTATTCTTTGTGAAATATTATATTTTACGTATTGATTATTAAGTGTCACCATATGTTAAAATTAAAATATTGATATTTTGGTATGTAGCAATGATAAAATCATAGGTTTGTGACACCGAAAGCTTATTCGCTTATTAACAGAAAAACATGCATGGTTTGCACGCATGAAAGAGAAGCCGCCTTGAACACTACATTAAGATGGGGTGGCTTGAGACAAAAAATCAAGGTGTTCCGCGAACCCAGGTCGTCCCTCCCAACGGTCGTCCTGCTCATGGGCGGTCCCACACGCCTCGTGGCCTCTCGCGGAGCAGCCGGCGCCATTGTGGGGTCCCGGGCGTCCGGGAGTGGGGTTCGGCGGGGGCCGCCCGCAGGGGCCGGGGCGCGGGCCCTTTGTGGGCCCCTCCGCCAATTAGCCGCGGGCCCCAGGAACCCCCCGCGGCGCGCGCGGCCCCCATGCCGGCCGGAGAGGGGGGTGCAGGAGCGGGGGCGGCGCGGACGGCGGTGCTCTGGCCTCAGGTGGTCGCCGCCTGCGCCTGATGTGCTACGGGGACTCCCCGGGGGCACGCGATCACGTGCGCGCGACACGTGTCCGGTGCGCAATCGCCCCCGCCCGCGCAGCCCGCTCCCCGCTGCGCGGAAGGGGGCGACTTCCCCCCCCCCCGCGTTTACGACACGGGATTACGACACCGCCAACGCCTCCGCCTCTCCGTGGCCGGCACTCGTTTAAAAGGTGCTTCCTGGGCAACTGTTTCGGGGAGAGATACGCGGTGGAGATACTGCACCCGTGCTGGTGGACTTCCGAGCCGCTCCTAAGCCGTTCTCTTATTTATGTTTCCTAAAAGGATCCACAAAAGGGGCACATTGTTATACGGACCTTTTTATTGCATCGCAATCGTCATGAGCTCTTTCGTTCGGTAAGTTATGTTTCCTGGAGTCGGGGAGGAAGGGAAGGGAGAAGTGTCACCTATGAAAGGGCGTCCGTTAGAGCCGCCTGCAGGATTCGAGGAAGGGGCCCTCGTATGGTAGCTGTATCTGAGGTGCCCCCCAGTTCCTCGTGTGGAGTTCTCCAAGTCGCAACGTACTACAATATGTCCTTCGAAACGCATGTGTTGAGGCTTACAGTTGAATCGATGTGTTACTGGTTATTGGAAGTCCAGAAGAAAAAGTGGATAACATCAATTGCAGTCGATACACTCTCGATCGTAGATGCAGCGTGTTGCACCACCATCATTCTTCTGGCGTTGGGCTGGAGTGATTGGTCGGATGTGGCATCTGAGGCCCGCCCGAAGTCAACAGTCATCTTCCACTGGCCGGCTGTCGCTTGCGGCTGGCCATCTGCCGCGTCCGGTTCTTCGCAGTTCCGGTTATTGTAGGACTTGTCTCTATGGCTACCCTTGTCCGCGCGATGTTAACAGTTGTCGCCATTGCATATGTAATTCCCCTTTCTATGCAAGTGCATTTAGCCAGAAAATTGACTTTTAAATTGACCAATGAACACTCGGAATATTATGCCGTTGTCTCACAGATTCGTCACGGTGTTCCTATTCGCTTTTTTGTTGTTTTTTTTTGTATTTTGGAGGGAGGAAAATTTACTTCTGTGAACTTTTTGATAAAATATATTACAATTTGTAAAATTACTTTTAATTCTCTTACAACTACGTGTATTTGTGTAAAATACTAGCAGACAGTTATTGTTTTCCTTTCTTCATTTCAAGATGCGAAGATAATATAAAATCAGTATTATGACGAAGGAACGTGTGTATAATGATATACTTCTGAACCATCAGGAAATGGTGAGATTTTTTTATTCATATAATACCTAATTAAACTAAAGCCAATTTTATGTATATTTATCATAAATTTGATTTGCAGTTTTCCACAGTGCTATCCACAGACATAATAATTAAATAATATTTGGGAACAACGCTCTTCACTAAAGGGGTCATTGTTAAAAATTATTAGTGATATATCGAAAATATACTAATTAATTTATTTGAAGAATTGAGAAAATGAAGTGAAATGAATGGATATATTATTGAATCGTTTATTAGCCGTGAATTCGGACTCTAAGTCCATTACTGAATCTTTTACTAACTGTGAGTCGGACTGACAGTTAGTAAAAGTTTCAGTAATGGACTCCTTTAATATTCACTGTTAGAAAAAGGTATCCAAATATTGCGTTAATTTTATGCAATATTTGGACGCAAGTTGTGAAGTTGTAATTTACCGGTGAATTTGCTACCCGAGCACGCTTTCTGCGAAAGGAATCGATCGTTCGACTGCGACTATCGCCAGCGGCGTCTGGAGCGAGGCGCCCGCCCGCCGTCCGTCATCTTGCGCGTGGGCCGCCGCGCCGCGCCGCGCCGCGCCGCCTTTGCCGCCTGCCGCCAGGTGCCGTGTCGCCGCCGCTAATGTCCGCGCGGCATGGCAGCGCCCGCGGGCGCGATTTATGGGCGAAACAAAGGCGCGGGTGGGCGGGCGGCCCCTGCGTCAGATTAGGCGAGTAAATACGGTGTTCCTCCGCGGGTCTAAACGGTTTATCGGAGGCCACGCGAATTACTTGTCGCGATAGCCGCTCCCCCCGGCCCGCCAGCTTTCCCCACGGCCCTCCGCAGCCATCGTTCCTTGCCCCGTGCGCTGTTCGCGCCGCACGCTTCGGCCGATTCAATAACGGTCGCTGACGCACCATTGACGTTCCCCTGGTGAGTATTACTCTTCGTCATGTCTTCTGCCGTGTGGCAATTGTCAAAGCGCCTGTTTGTTGATTGTATAGAACGAAGTACTAGTTTTCGTTGTAGTAGATATATGTTTATTTTTTTCCTTTTAGTACTCGTTCTCGGAGAAAAAATAAATTTTTATCCTACATTGTTTAACGTAACCTAATAGTGCTATAATTACCTAACGGGTTATAATTACCTACTCGTCAACTTGTTTTGGAACATAATTTTATTTTAAGTACATTCATATTTCGGTACCACGTTCCGTCATTTAACGAATTTTGGAAGCAGCGGAAAACATACATGAATATTTGATATCGTGTAATACATGAATAATTTGCGTGGTCAGGTTGGGTATTGTTCTTGATTAAAAGTGCCGTGCTGTTATTATTTTATTAATTCATCTTTCATTTTGTAGTAGTTTTTATTTGCCTTTCCTAACATAATCTAAGCTCACATACCATTTTACAATCTGTGTCATCTATCACAAAGTTAACCCCCTTTTAGTTCGTAGTATCGAGATAGTGTGTATTTTTTATTTACACCTGGATTGTTTGATTTACGCCTTGATAGTACATCATGTTTTTCACTGGCGCTGTTTATAATTTCTTCACCTTCAATGTTTATGATCGGTTTGTGACTTTAAGATTGTCAGTCATTTTTCAAATGCTATATTTTTGTTTGTCATACCGATGATTTAGAAAAAAATATTTCAAATGTATTCTTCTAAGAAGAATGCCAATAACTCATCAAATTTGCTTCCAGATACTTTAACAAATAATTTTGAATAATTGTTGCTGCAAGTTTTCTCAAGTTCTGAAAGATGAAAAAGTTTTAATCAGAAGCAGGAATCAAATTAAAGTAATTTGTCAGAAATGTTTTAGATTTTTATTTTTCATCAGTACAAAGAAAGAAAATGAAACAAACTTTGAGCTTTAAAGCATAACCAATGAGTCATTTCCCTTTTCCTTGAAAATATAATTTTATTAATTAAAATAGAAATTTTCAACACTTCCATTTCGATATTCATAAGAAAAGTTTTTTCTACGCTGTACAATATAATACATTACTTTGAAAGAAAATGTATTAGGAAACGTATTCAATAAGTTACATATGTTGTGAAGACGTTTATTGTAAATAATTTGTTACCAATACCGTGAAATATTTTTTTCTGACCACTGTCTCAGTGATTAATGAATTGTTATTAAATTTTATTAAACATTTTATAAACTTTCATTATGACATCAATAATGATTTTACAATTAATTTAATATCCTATTATATGACGTCACTGACAATTAAAACCATTTGTTCAGTGAAAAAATATAACTTTGGAGAAAGATGTTATCTAGTTGTTGTTCAGTAATTCGTGTAAATTGTAAATTTTGATGTTAAGGTGAGGCGGTAGGCCCTATCACATCAAAGTTAAAACAAGCCATTTTGCGACCCATTTTTCTCAGGAACTACTGAATACATTTTAATGGATTTTGAACGACTTATTAAGTAATGCGTGAAGAGATTACTGATCTTCAATTTAGTTTTTATCTGCATTCTGAAATGATTCAAAATGTTTTTCAAAAATTGAGTTTTTCTCAAACAAATGTGCAAACAAATTCGTAACCCACGGACCAGAGAGATAATGTTTCTGACTGAGGTTCCAGATACTTATTTTAACATGCATTAGCATTGAAAATTTCATGTCAATATCTTGAGTAGTTTCCGAGTTTGAAAATTTTAATTTCTGAGAAAATGGTACTCAAAGTTTTTTTAATAGCATATGTTAGGAAAACTAAGAGTTTTTTTCACTCGAGAGTAACTAATCGTAATAACAGGTTTCAATACTTTTTAGACCAGCCTAAGTTATTCTTTTCTTCTTTCTTGCCTCCTTTGACATTTGCGAATCACCATTTTCTGCCTTTGTTATGCCTAATCTGTCAAGTTCTCAACATATATCATGGTGACATACGTAATTTCTTCAGCATTTCTCATCTTGCACAATTTCCATCCATCTGTATGACAACAGCTTCAGATACTTCTAAATGTAAGGTTTTGTGACCAATAAAAAAATTGTTTGGTATTCTTGTACTAATGTTTTTGAATTCTTCATATTTTGAAATTTGTCATGGAGACCTCTTCTGCGAATTTATGTCTTCTCTTAGTATTCAAATAATTCTCAACTTCTGTATTTACACTATGTTTCTTACTTTTAGATGCATTAGGAGAAGTTTCACGTGTATTCGAACTCATTTTATTATTAGTCTCAATGCAAGGGGTTTGATTTGATATGCTGATTTTTTTTTGAAAATACGTCTTTTAAAGATTCCTTCACATTTCGCCATTATAGAACATATAAAACTTTTTCTTTTAATTTTGTAGCCTATCACACATCGTAATTGATAGCAAATTGAACTTTCCTACACCACAAACACATCAACTCACGGATGTATACATACAAAAATAAGTGCATTTACAAAAATTGGACTATCGCACAGACGTTTCTATCAGTACAATCAGACAAAATTCGTTTACAAAGAAAAAAAGCTAGCTTTCTTATAAAATTAGAACCCGAGATATTAGATGTTGTATGAGGTTATATTGCAGTCTGGAAGTTAGCACTGAAATAGTTAAAAATAAGATTAATGAACTTATAGATGGAATGTGTCAATGAATCTGATCTAGAAATGTTCATAAAAGAACATAGTATTTAATTATTCAAAAAAGATAATTCAGTTTTTTTAAAAGATTCGTCCTATCGTCTCACCTTAATTTTGTGTTTTGGTATACATTGGAAATAATAAGCATGTTTCTAAAATATTAAAAAAACAATATAATTATTAGATTCAAACTTATTTCGTGAAATTGTGTTTAAAAAAATGAAGTATTTGAATATTCTGGACTCGGCTTCTCACCATTGTTTGGTCGCGCCTTATAAATATTGCTGGCAAAACACGAATCTGGCGAATATGATTGCACGGGGGCTTAGACGACGGGACGGAGAGCGCCCGGTGCGGAGCGTCGGTGCCCCCCGCGCGGATAAATTTAGCCGCGCGCCGAGAGATGGCTGTGATAGCGCACACGGACCGCTCCGCCAGTCGCGGAGCGCCGCTCGGCTGCCGCCGCCGCCGCCGCCGCCGCCGCCGGAAAATCGAAAAAGAGGGAGCGGGCAGGAGTATGTCTGGGGTGACCGGAGCGTCCACTGCAAGACGTGGATCGCAAAGAAATTCCGAGCCGAACCGGTGATCGACGTTTCTTGCTTCTGGTTGAGGAACATGAGTTTTAACCCAGTCTGTGCACGTTGTGTTGATGTGTATGTAGTATATGAAAGACGCCAAGAAGGGCAATATTCCGATGGATGATGATGGATGGTATTAAAAATGTACAACATAACGAGTATACCTCGTTTCAAATTCCCTTTACTCTTTGTGGAATGTCTCGAACATTATGTCTGAAATAATTGGAAATATCAAATTATCATTGCAGAGATTTCTCTGTAAGCTGTACCGTAGTATTTTTGTAAGGTTTTATACTCGTATCTTATTGGTCATAAAGAATAATGAAGGAATATCCGAAAAATTAATGTTGGATTTAAAATCCGAGAAACTGCCTAAATAATCATTTTAACTTATGTATTGTAAATTATAACTAAGTCGACATCTTTAAGTTAATTTATTACATGAACTTGAAGCTACAGCTGATTATATAACACTCTAAAAGCGTTTGAAACCGTTGTGCTAGAGTAATATTGTTCTTCTGGGTACCTCTCGATATCAAGACCATCACAAAGGGAAGGATGGCTTTCCGATGTAATAGAACATGAGCCCTAAAATTACTGGGGCCGATGTCCCGGGTGCGACATCCGATCCAGCACTTTCGTCGCGAACGCTGTCGTGATCCGTCTTAGTAAATAACCGCGGCGCCGACGGCCGAAGGGCGGCGCGCGCGCTGGGATTTCGTCTGGAACCCG